ATTTCAGCTTAAAATCTTTTGTAATTCATAAGATATCGCCATTTGAAGTTACTGGTTTTTTCAAAAACTAAAATTTTGTTAGCAAAAACATGTTTTGTTCATACTTTAAAGCTCTGTATTTTAAAAACAAAAATTCAAAAAACTTTCTACTCTTTTTTTATTAAATACAACTGTAGGCTTACTTTTTTAATACCTTGACATTGAATTTTTAATTTCAAATTTTATCCATAATGGCTGCCTAAAAACCCTTAAAAATTGTTTGCAGATATAAAAAGCTGATTTTTGATGGGTCAATATACAAAATTAGCAACTTAAGAAGTGAAAGGACATATCTTTTTAGTTTCTATATATGGTAGGCTTCATAATATTTAAAAATTTGCTGATAACATCTGATGATTCAGTAAGAAATAATGGATTCCTAAAAATGGCTCCGGGTAAAACTTTAAAAATTGTGCCTTCCCTTTAAACCACCGGTAACTTAGGATCAACACTGATTTTCATAATTTTTTTTTACTCATTTAACAGACTTTATTATAGTGATTTCAGAAAAAAAATTAGTGGGTACTCATGGGGAAGTGACAAAACCAGAGCAATGAAGTTGGCACAAAATGCATTAAAAACTATAAATATATTGGTATTGATGTACTTTATTTTTCATTATCTACTGTAATGCAAAAAATATATATGTAAAAAATTATATCATAATCATTACTAGAAATAAGTTATAAACTAAGACTGAATTAAACTCAGTTAAACTCAGTTAAACCCAACAATTGAACAGAAAATTGTAAAACGTTGTAGATCTAACAACCCCACGATAATATGATGCAACTTATGCTTTTATAAAAAGGTAAAAATATCTTTATATCTTAAATATCTTTTTATTTATATCTTAAATATCTTTTATCATGAACCACAAAAAATTTTAGCATAAAATTTTTTGTGGTTCATGAGATATGGTCATTTAAAACTTCTGATTTTTCTAAAAATAAACTTCAGTACCAAAAATATGTTTTGTTCATACTTTGAAAACAAAATTTCAGAAAACCTTCTACATTTGCAAATATAAAAAGTTGATTTTTGATTAGTCATTATACAAAATTTACAATTTAAGAAATGAAAAGAAATAATTTTTTGGTTTATCTAAACAGTAGGCTTCCAAATTTTTACAAATTTACTTATAAGATACAATTTAGTAAAAATTATAGATTTCTGAAAATGGCTGTGGCTAAAACTTAAGAAAATGTGCCTCCACTTCAAATCCCCGGTAATATAGAATCAAACCTGGTTTTATAATAAGATTTTTTTTTTGTACTAACTTAATAGCATTTATTACAGAGATTTCAGAAAAAAAAAAGCAGGCACTCATGGAGAAGTTACAAAATCAGAACAATGAAAATTGCCCAAAATGACAATAAAAATAAAGTTATTGTTGTACTTTAGTTTGTATTATATATTATAATACAAAGTATGAATTTAAAATCATTACTAGAAATTAGTATTTAATTAAGCCTGAATTAAACCCAGTTTTTAAATAGCCCTAGCTCTTCCCTGCCCCCTCCTTCTTCCTATTTATTTACTTTTTACATGCACATTTTTGCGCTGAACTTAGAAAAAAATGCTTGATGCATGAAGTGCCTATATACATGATCAAAGAATTCCACAAAAACATTTAAAAGTTGTGATATAATAGACAAGCAAGTTATTAAGTGTTCTTTTTATATCTTTATTTTATATATAAAATTTATCATTTCTTATTTATTTTTTCCGGGAATGCGTAGGGTTGCAATTTTCCGAAAATGCATGGGGTCCTTTTCTTAATTTTTTTTTTCCTACTCTACTTTAGTGCTGCATAGATTGATTGGACAGCGTTAAAAATAAAATAAAATACCGCCTGTAACATTGAAGATGAAAATGAAATCATTAAAAAATTCATGGTTTCATAATGAAAATGCAAATTAAGCTCCTATTTCCAAATATATATTAGGAATTATATATTTTCCTAATAATAAATAATTTGTGTATAATAATCATTATTATGAATAAAATAGTTGATTTATTTTTAATCTTAATACATCATTGTTGCTTTCATTTCAAGAGTATTTTTTTGAATATAAATTTATTTTACACTGTAATATAGTGATTTATGTTTAATGAAAATCTCTGCAAAAGGGAGCCAATGATCTTTTATTTCTAATTATTAATTAAATTCTGCTTGACCTCCTTTATGGACGAACCCGTACATCATCATGTAATAAATTGTCAAAAGAAATGTTTTGAAAATAGATAAGGTTTTGAAAATAGTAAACACAAGCTTGTAAATTTTATATTCCACATTTATTGAACTTCAATTTTATAATTGATAATAATTTTCTTTATACATAAATCCCATAGGAAAATAAAGTTATAGTTACTGTTACTAAGTGTTTCAAAATCTTTTATTCGTCTAGTTTTTTTCCTCGAACATCAGTTCTTTGGAATTTGCTTCCTTCATCCTGCTTTCCTGATTCATATAATTTACAATCTTTTAAGTTGTCTGTCAACCGTTATATTGCTTTACAATCTTCATCTTTTCTCTTCCAGTAACTTCCAACCTTGCCTTGCTGGAAGCAAAGATGTTTAAAAAAAAAAGTAAAAAAAGATTCAGTTGAAATAAAATACAAAACAAAAAAATGAAAAACAATAACTAAAAGACTTAGGGATTGTCCATAAAAAGTTTGCAGTAAGACTTGACAAGTTATTTAACTTTTTAGCCAAAAATACCAAAACTTTAAAAGAAATAGCATTTGTGGGTGTAAAATAAACAAATTAGTTATTATTTTAAATTTTTTAGATTAGTGCATTATTTCTTGCTTACTTTTTATATAATATTTGCTAATGTTGGAATGCATTGCAAAACATTATTTGCAAATTATAAGAAATTAATTTTACTAGCAGGTTACCAAGAAAATCCCTAAAATCGCTTGGGAAATCCCAATTCTCTAGAAGTTTTGTCAGAGACATTTTTGCAGTTATGCAATCGGGTAATTATACCAATAATGGCGATTTTAGTTTTAGTTTTACGCATTTAATGATTTAGAACTTTTTATTTTATTTTTTTATTAGTTTTTAATAATAATTAATTTTCAATAATTTGGGGGGCCACAGGGTTAGTTTACACCCTGAAGTGCTTGGGGTATTTAAAACTGGGTTTAATTCAGGCTTAATTAAAGACTTATTTCTAGTAATGATTTTAAATTCATACTTACTATGTATTATAATATATAATACAAACTAAAGTACAACAATAACTTTATTTTTATTGTTATTTTGGGCAGTTTTCATTGTTCTGATTTTGTAACTTCCCCATGAGTACCCGCAATTTTTTTTTCTAAAATCACTGTAATAAATGCTATTAAGTTAGTCCTATGTTACCAGTGGTTTGAAGTGGAGGCACATTTTTTTAAGTTTTAGTATCTTAAGTTTTAATTGTATCTTAACAGTAAATTTCTAAAAATTTGGAAGCCTACTATTTATAGAAACCAAAAAAATATTTCTTATCAAAATTTTTTTTCTTAAATTTTAAATTTTGTATGACTAATCAAAAATCAACTTTTTATATTTGCAAATGATTTTTTAGGTATTTTTAGGTAGCCATTATGGAAAAAATGTGACATTCATTAATTCACACTGCAGATACCATTTTAATTTACACTTTAAAGACCTCTAAAGTTCACACTTTAGATAAACTGTAATGCAAACAACTTTTACATAACACCATTTTTCATTTACTGAAAAGCTACTGTATTTTTAGTGAAACTTTTCAGTAACATTTTTATGACCTTTAACACAATTAAAACATTCATATACCCCACTTTAAATAACTATAATATTTAGATCTAAATATAATTAAAATCAGTATACTAATGCAAATATTATACCTATAAGCATTAAGATGACAGTAAAAACATGGCTAATGATTTTATTGGTTTACTTATGAAATTCTAAAAATGTATGTTGATACTAGGACAAGTAATGAATAAAAATAACTTCTCAATAATGAATAAAAATAATAATGAATAAAAATAACTTAAGTTTGCTATATTTTTTTTGCGCTTGAGTGAATAGATTCCTGCACTTCTCGAGTGAATAGGTCTTGTTTACTTTTTTAGGCAGTAAATACAGAAACATTTAAAAAATTCACTTTAGAGCAAACTTGCCACCTTTTTTTTACTCCAAAATAAGTCCAAAATAAGAACAATTTTAAACTTTTAACAAATTTTTTTACAACTTTTTAAATTTAATTTAATGTTTTAAATTTTAAATTTAACTTTAAATTTAATTTTTAACTTAATTTTAAATTTAATTTAATGATTTAAATTTTAAATTTAACTTTAAATTTAATTTTTAACTTAATTTTAAATTTAATTTAATGATTTAAATTTTAAATTTAATTTTAAATTTAATTTTAAACTTAATTTTAAATTTAATTTTAAATTTAATTTTAAATTTAATTTTAAATTTAATTTTAAATTTAATTTTAAATTTAATTTTAAATTTAATTTAAAAACTTTTAACAAACTTTTAATAAACTTTAACTAACTTTTAACAATTTTTAAAATTCAACAAAATTAAGTCCAAAATAAGAACAATTTTTTTCATATGTACTTAAGGCAAAATTCAAATTCAAAATTAGAAAGCAATAATAAAATACTAAATGGTCAATTAAAAAATAATAAAAATTACAACTCTCAATCAAGTAAACAACTAATATAACTAACCAAAAAAATACCCTAGATACAGTTTTAAAGTACATGTTCTGTATTGTTAAAAATGAATTAAAGTTTAAATTGCTGAAGTAACTAAAAAATTTTTTACTCATTACTCAAAATGAACAAAAAAAAATTTTTTTTCATTTTTAATAATTATCTTTTTAAATATAAGAATAATTTTTTTTAAACATTTTAAGCATCTCTTTAACATTTTTCAAATTAAAAATTAAGATTATTAAATGTTCTAACCTGAACAGCAAGACATGTAATTTTTAGCCCAAGACTAACAGAAGCACTTTCTTCATCGTACAATCCAGGGTATATCCGAATATCCCCATCGCTACCAGCTGTTACAATAGAACTAAAATTAAAAAAAGAAATTATTTTAAAAATTTTAATTCAATATAAACCGCATATTGCAAAAAAAATCATTATATCCTTATGTGTCTTCATGTAAAACGATTTATTTAAATAAATTTAAATATTAATTACTTCTTCAGTTTCAAATTTACAAATTGAAATTAGCATGGTTATTAGTATGTATATTATTATGCATATGGAATAGCATGTAGAATCAAAGTAATATGTTAATAATAATTCAACAAAACTAACAGTATCATTTTATCAGGGGCTATCCTAGACCATTTTTGACAGCGTCAACCATATTTGGGCGCCGTCCAAATTAAAAATCAAGGGCCTTTTTTTTTAACCTTTTTACGACAAACATTGTTTTTTTTTTGTGAAAAAATGCCGATATTCAGCAATATTTCTGCTAAATATCTTCGAGACGGGGGATACTGCCGCCCAAATTTTTTTCCTAAAATAGTCTCTGTATATGTTTTATAAATAAATAAATATATATATATATATATATATATATATATATATATATATATATATATATATATATATATATATATATATATATATATACATATATATATATATATCTTATACTGGTGAGTTAGGTGAGCATGATGATGTCATACTCACCTAATGTCAAATAGCCTGCTATATATACATATATATAAATATATATACATATATATATATATATATATATATATATATATATATATATATATATATATATATATATATATATATATATATATATGTATATATATATGTATATATATGTATATATATGTATATATATGTACATATATATGAATATATATATATGTATATATATATATATACATATATATGTATATATATGTATATATATGTACATATATATGTATATATATATGTATATATATATATACATATATATATGTATATATATATGTATATGTATATGTATATATATATATATATACATATATATATATATATATATATAAATGTATGTACATATATACATATATATATATATATATATATATATATATATATATATATATATATATATACATTTATATATATACATATATATATATATATATATATATATATATATATATATATATATAAAATACTGAGCAATATTTCTAGTATTCATGCCCCTAAAAATCTTGATAATACACGTATGGATCAAAAAAATTTACTAAACAAAAAGTCTCAACTAATTTCTAAATGCAGGTACAACCCTTGGAATTAAGAATAATGCAATAAATTGTCAACCTCAATTTATTTTAAAAATATAGAGCTACTACTACTAATAAAAAGAAGCATGTTAAACTTATTTTAAAATAAGTATTAATTTGTTTTAAATTAAGTTTAAAATGTTTCTTCTCTGCAAATTGTAGACATAAAAGCAAATTTCTTCTGCAAAAATAAATAATCAGCAATAAATTGTCAACCTTAAACTGTTAGAGGTGGGCATAAGATCAGCAAAAAAAATTTGAAACAAAGGTGTTACTATGAAACACAGAAACGAGGTCAGCAAATTTTTGCCAACTTCAAACACTTTGAGGTCGGCAGTTAGGTTGGCATTGCCGAATGCCAACCCTAATTCTGAGGGCTGCAGGTATGAAAACTAATACCTTTTAAAAAGTTATAAAAATAAATGACTAAACTAAAATTCTAAAGAATTCTTCTTTACATTTTAAATTTTTTGAAAAATAATTTAGCTAATGCATTATATCTATCAATTAATTTATTAACAACTTTATTTGATAAAAAATTTGACAAACAAAAAGCTATAGAAGTTTTTACTGATCATAAAAATATTTTACATTTTCTAAGGGAGTTACAACAGTTATAACAACAATTAAAGATTCCACAATAAAAGTATTTACATGATAATAACAATTTTTTTTAGCAGATCATTTAAGATATATATCAGATTTATATAATTTATTATAATTAATATATAAAAGTTATAATTCATTACATCATATAAAAATTATTATCCAAAAAATTAGTTCTTAATAAATTTATATATATGAGGTTTAGCAAAATAAAAAGCAATAATAACATTCAAAAAAAATGTTTTACTTTTTCAAATGTGTTTTTAAAAATGTTTAATATATAAACTAAATTTTATATAATAACTTTAATAGGAAGACATAGCATTAACTAAGAAAATAACAACAGAATATTAATTTATTTTTTCATAATGGCATTACTATAAGCAAACTGATTTTTTATATAAAAAATCAACCACTTAGTCCTATCTAATTAAAAACATTTGCATTTCAATGTATTCTCTTTTAAAAAAGCATTATGGTTTATTATGCATAATTGGATTATTTCTTAAATAATAATAACAGAAAGTAGACTGATCTGATAATAATTGGAGGGTTCAGAATGTTCTCACGAGTTTTTAAAGATTGGAACAACAGATGCCATTTTCGAGCAAGATAATCATAAAATTCAAGAGTCAAAATTGAAGAAAAGGTTTTTCCAAATAGTTCTGCCATATCCTTAGGAGAGGTAATAAGATCAGTCCCATAAATGAGAGTTGGAATGTTAGACCTACCCTTGTTAATGACATTGTTGAATTTTTTAAAAAAGTCTCAAGAGCCTAACTTCTGAGATAAGATGCAAGATTTAGTCATCTGAGAATAATGGAGCTTAGCATCAGTCAACACCTTTTTACATAAATTTCTTGCAAAGTAAATAGATGTATGTTCTCAAGAGGAATGATTACAATTAGATATAGTAACTGCACAAGAAGGTGAAAACAATGGAGTAGAATAAGGCTTTACTTAAAACTGACATAAAGGAATTAAAGCTTACATTCTGGCCTGAATCCAGGATGTTACCTATTAGACGCATTTTTCAGCTGAGAGGGAAAAGACACCAGTTAAGGACTTTCACGAAGGAAATCACAAAAAGAATCCCAGTCAGCTTTAGGGTATTAGTAAGTAGTGGAAGGATTGGGTGAGTTCAAAAAAAAAGTTTTAAAAAGATTATAGAATTGTTAGAACCACCTAACAGAGAAAAAGGAGAAAATGAACACAAGTTAGAATCAGAGACAAGACATAAAGGAGTAAAGGTTTAAACAGACGCAAGACATAAATTAAGGAGTAAAAGAGTAAAGAGACAAATTAGTAAATTTATGCATATGTATACCCAAGGGTCTGAATATTGGAGTATTTGCAAATCAAATGATAGTACCCATCAACGCTGAGATCTGAAGAAGGAATAGTGGAATTTAAATTAGTCTCACTAAGTGCAAGCAAGTCTGGTGAATTTTGCAAGAGGTAAGATTCAAAAGCTATCTTAGTAATCATAAGCAGTTTGTTAATATCCAAGACTCTTCTTTGCTTTTAGTAATGAATGTAACATGTGGTGTCCCACAGGGATCCATAGTTGGGCCCCTATTATTTTCAATATATATAAATGACCTCAACCAAAGCCTCTAACTTAACCACTATAATTTTTGCTGATGACACAAACCTATTCCAAACTCATGAAAGCATAAATACACTTTTTGATAATATAACACAAGAATTAAATAAAATATCATATTGGTTTAAGATAAACAATTTGTCCTTCAATATTGATAAAACAAAATGGACACTTTTTGCCATTTAAATTATGCAAATAAAGCTTAAATCTCTTTATCAGCATCAGAAACACGCAGCTTGCTTAACTAATTTTGTAAATCGTTTTTCAAATTCAAACCACTTCTGAGAGTAATGAAAGCCTTAAATGTATACGAACTAAATGTTTATATTTTATGTTTCATGTTTAAATGTAAAAATCGTTTATCTCCTGATGTATTTATAAACTTTTATAATGTAAAACCCATAAACAAATACAATCTTCCAAATGGAAAAAATCTATTATTTATAGAATAAAATAGTTTTGACAAATTTTGATTTGTCATTGAAATGGACTTTAACTTCTTCAAAAATTTAAAGAAGTTATCTTTTCAGCAAAAAATATTTTTTCTTGTTTTTAGTTTTTTTGTTTCATACATTTCATATAATTTATCCAGTATATTTATATTTTAAATGCACAGTTATATTTAGTTTATGTTGATTTATTTTTATTGGTTAATTTTATTTTATTGTTAATATTATTATATTTAATATTGTAAAGGGCTTCATGATAAGATCATATGATCTTCTAGAAGTCCTGCTGATTATATTTGTAATAAACTAATGGAAGGTTCGTTCACAGTCCACAAATATTTATAAAAGATATATTGAAATAGTTAGTTGGTGGGGTTGTTTTTTAATGTTTAAAATTTTAGGTTACTCTTGGTGTAACTTAAGTTTAAAGAGAACATGATTCTTTCATAGATAGAGCATGGTCTCCTAAGCAATGAGTTATACAATAATTGAGTCTTGGGAGAACATTCTGAATCCAATCGTCTGCTCATTTTTCTTTCTGTTATTACATCTAACAAAATACAGAGATGTGCATAGGTTTATAGTTGGAGTAACTAGTTAGTTAATGAACTCACACTGTATCAAAACGGATTTAAAGATTTAGACAGAAAATTTAAACATAACACAAACATACATAAAGTACCTTATAGGTGAGTAAATGCGCCAGAGGTTCAGACAGAACACAAACATACATATATAAAGTAATTTATAGGTGAACCAAAACCAAGTTAGAGGATCAGATAGAACACAAACATATATGTAAACACAAACAGACAGAGCACACATACAATAAGTAAACATAAAGTAACGTATGAATGAACACCATGCCAAAGGTTCAAATAGAACACAAACACACATATAGTAACTTACGAGTGAGTAAACATTTATAGGTGAACTAAAACAGGTGAACTAAAACAGTCACTAAGGCGCCTACAACTATATAAAAGACAAATGCGAAAACAAAAAATTATTTATTACTAAAAGTTATATATTATTATATGCAGGCTTGTAGAGCTGAGCAACTGTTTTAGGTGAATCTAGAGCTGTAAAAATCAAGCAGCCATTGGCTCTTATGTTTTTCTAAGGGAATAATATATTTTGTTTTTTTACCTTGGACAAATTTTATTCATTCATTGTTTCATTGAATGAATTATGTATTGAACTTTTTTATAATTTTTTTTTTTAACAGTTACAGTCTTGCTAAAAAAAAATGAATATTTTAACAATTTAGTACTCAACAAAATACTATCCATTAAAAGCATTTCTTAATATACTTAATTAAGAAAAAAATAAATAAGTAAATTATATATGGAAATATTCTTACATTATTACATATACTGTTTTATATTATATTTTTATATTGATAACATGCTGTTAAATATTTGATGCGCAATTTAATTTTTAAATTTATATTAGGTGCCCCAAGAACTTGCCCAGAGGCATTGGACAATGGATCTCTTGTTTCTGAAGCAAGCGTAATAACCATTGTGCTACAGCTGCTTAAATAATGATCAAAGGTTATTTATATCTTAAAAATTATATAATCCAGTTGGCACGGGATGTACAAAAGACATCTTTTAAACATCTTTGAAGCAAAAAAAAAAAAGTTTATTGAACGAATATTTTCAGAAAATAAATAACTTACTGGCAATATGCATAACTCTAACTTAATAATAAAAAAATTTATAAAGAATGAAAAAGACTTTACAAAAATAAAAAAATAATATACCAATTAAGAGAGTCGTATGCTGCAAATGTTGGTCCTTCAGAATGAGCTGTACGCACATCATTAATTGATAACATTTTTATGAAATCATTACTTATATCTAAAGAAAAAAGATTATGTTACCAGAAAAAGATAGTAAACTTTAGTTTAAAATCGAGTCACTTAATTTAATAATTAAAATCGAGTCACTTAATTTAATAATTAAAATCGAGTCACTTAATTTAATAATTAAAATCGAGTCACTTAATTTAATAATTTAAATTGAGTCACTTAATTTAATAAACACTTAACATGATAAGAGGAGTACTTTTTTATTTCAGGCTTAGTTGCATTGCAAAATTTTAATGCCATTTAATTAAATAAACATTAATGATGATAAGAATAGTATTTCATTTTAATTGTTAAATTTATACCTAAATAAATGAATATATAACTGTATATTTTCACACACACACATATATATATATATATGTATATATATATATATATATATATATATATATATATATATATATATATATATATATATATATATATATATATATATATATATATATATATATATATATTATATATATTCTATTTTTAACTTTATTTACAAAAACGATTAACTACAATAATATGACCAAATTTAAACCTTGCCATAACCTTAACCCTAAGCCTGACCTTGATGCCTGGCCTAACCAAACCCTCAGTCAATGTAGCAGCACTCCCTTGTGAGTCAGGCTATTTGATAGTTGATGTATGTACTTTTCGTTCTCTATAAAAAATTTTTATGGGTACATTTTTTTACATAAAAATAATGCTTACAGGGACAAAAAATTAAGGGGTACACTAAAATGTCTCAGATAATATGTTTATATCCCCGTAAGTGTTAGTTTTTTGTAAAATCTGTCCCTGTAAGTGATAAAATATACAGATTGACAGATTACGGTTGACGCTGTCGAAAACAGTCTAGAATATCCTCTAATATTTGATAAAATGAAATGAGATATATAAATATAAATGATAAAATGAAAACAATGTAAATATTTCTAAAATGAAAGTACAAAATAGACAAAACTGATGTCTTAAAATATATATTAAAACTCAAATTTTTAAAAATAGACAAATTAGAGCTATAAATAATATTTAACTACAAATAAAACTTAGATAAAAACAATTTTTCATAACTCCTATCATTCCAATTGTTTCGATATGCAAGAAAAGATGTTTAAAAAATAACAATCAATCCAGATTGCACTTGCAGTTGATAAAATTGATTACTTAATACACTAGAGTCTAGTGCAGATAGCACAGACAGTACAGTATCTAGTCTAGATAGTACATAATATGGAAATTCTGTAAGCTTTTAAATTTGTTGTTGAAGTTGTAGAACTGTGCATTTGTCTATATAAATTTTATCTCATAATTTAAGGCATAGAATCATTCTATTCATTAATTATGAAATGATATTGACATTCTAAGAATGCCAATATCATTTTATAGTTAATACATTTTCTCCCTACACAGTTGGTGCGAATAGATAATACTGTGTGGGTGGAAAACTTGGGCATATTCAGTAAAAGTGCTGCATTAAAGATTATCAAATTGTTGTTGTTGTTCTTGTCTTGTTTAAGATAACAATTTAATGCTAATGTTTACTTATTATTATTATTTAAAAACTACACCTATTTACTCAATAATCATGAAACTATAGCTTTGATAAGTCTACGCTTAATGTCTGCCTATTTTTGATAAATTTTATTACACTGAACTAGAAACTTTTATTTCTTATATTTTTTGTTTTTTCAGGTATTTAATTATATAGCTTGAGCCCATTACAGAAAATTGATTTCTGTCCAATTATATTGTTTTGCACTTCCATATTAAAATTATTTGCGTTTCTGGTATTGTATTTATGTAAGTCAGTGTTCTTTCTGAACATATTCACATATATTTTATTGTATGGATTAGTTACTACTTCATAAACTAAATTTAAAACTATAAATTGATTTATATTGTTTGAACACACTAATGAAGAAACTTAATTTGAGTAACTACTTTTCCCTGATACCTTCTGAAAGCATATAGAAAAAAGTAAATGCAAATTAAAACCGAAATTTAGAGATTAAGTTATAACTTTAGGATCCTAACTTTGCAACTTTATATAAAGTTTAGTCTTTCAAAAAAAAAAAAATTACATCATTTAACATATAAATATAAGATTTGTAAAAATTTATGAAGAAAAAAATATTAAACTTGCGTCACAGTGTATTATGTAGTGAATTGTCAAGTTTCATAAAGTTTGTTTGAATTAAATATTTTTAGATAAATATTATTTGAATAAGGAAAACCCGCCATTTAACCCTTACCATGTGTACTAATGTAGTCGCCGTCAAAAAAAACCGCCAAAAGTTAATAGTTACAGCACAGTTAAGGTGGCACATACCTAAAAAAAAAATCAAATTTTTCAAAATTTAATTTTTTTTTAGGTATGTGCCACCTTAACAATTTTTTTCTGTTCAATATGGCATCGCTATTACTAAAAAAAATTTTAGACAAAACAGTGCCAAAATTAGTCTAACTTAGCATTAGAAAATGTGTATAAATTTCTAGTTTTAGAAACCAGAATATTCCCTGATTCTTACTGATGAAAAACCAATATCAGGAAAAAACAATCATTTTGATAAAGTTAAACACCAGTGAGGGATCCAGAGGGAAAGAGGTATTCCTCAAAAATTCCTGGATCCGTCACTTAAAAATTCACTGGATCCGTCACACACATCATAACAATTACAATTGTTCTATCAGAACTAACTTTTTAGATTTTATAGTTGTTTAAATTAGTTTTTACCCTTTTAATTAGTTTTTCTCAATTAGTTTTTTGCAAGGTAGTCCAGAAAGACTTTTAAAAAAACAAGCCAAATTATGTGTATACAATGGAATCTCAAAATAGTCATTGCAACCAAATCGATACCACAACAGTAGAGTATGATTTGGAGTTATAAAATCCAATAATATTAGATTGAAGTTACAAGTTGAGCACGGCGTTTTCCATATACTTCTTATTATATCCGACCATTATTAGAGTTTGCCCGTCCGGGCATGGTCTTCCATTGCAAATATAAATACAATTAAAATGATTTAACATTGAATCACAAAATGTATTACGTCACCAAATTACCTGAAATATGATAAACTTTTAATAGCGGCTTACTTTGAACACCCTTGATACAAAAATACAAAATAATTAATAAAACTGATTCAATCAATTTTGCGGCGTAACAAATCACACCAGTTTATTGAGGATCTTTAGATCTTTTATTGTGTTTCAAAACTTTTTTAGCGGCTTATTCAAAAGTGTGGTTCCTTTTTTTTAGACTATACTTATGAGTATTTTATGATAATTTATTACGCAATTTAATTACGAGTTGATTTGTTAAAAATTGGAATTCTTTATTATCTACCACAGTATGCAAACCATCGCTCAAAGATTTTAAGTAGAACTTAGATAGTACAATTTATTTTTGCAATTTTTCAATAATTGCAAAAATTGTTAGAAAAGAGGTGTCCTTATCTGCCTCTCCGTCAATAAAGATCTGCATTTTTAAACCAATTGCTTACTATGAATAATTTTTATTGTTTGCAATTGAGATAAATTTGTAAGTATTCACTATTGATAGCTGAATAAACATGCAGTATACTAAACAATTGTTCTTAATGAAAAAGACCTGTAGAATTAGAACTATTAGAATCAGAATTATTTATCATAATTAGATAAAAATTGGGGCTAAAGTATCCAATAGTTGAAACAAACTCTGGATAAAATTTTGGATATATTAGCCCAGGCCCGCCCAGAGCTTTTTAATGCTTGGGTCCAAAAGTTTAATGGATGCCCTATCACAGTTCAGGTCTTAAAATGATAAATAGCAAATAAATTAGTATAGTTATATATTGTTTACTTTCATAGAAACCTAAATTTTAATACTTAATTATATTTGTTTTTATAAACCAAAATATTTAATTTTAGTTTATAAAAACAAACTTAGTAAAATCCAGTCTTAATAGACGAACACATCTTCTAGGTCTTCTTAGCGACAAAATTCGAAATAACTACTTCATAAGAAACGTTATATACTAAATCTGTTTTAATTGAAAGAATCATCAAGTAACGCAATCGCTCCTGGTCCATTGTAGAAAGAAGATAATCTTTGATTATCGCTAACTTGCTGAAAGACCTTTCACTCTCAGGTGTTGAAACGGGCAATGTTAGAAAGATTTTAAGTAAAACACAAACTTGTGGAATATTGACTAGTCAGACTGTCAAATCTAACATTGAAAACATTATACTCAAGGTTTTTTGACGTTTCTTCGTGATTGTAACTAGCAATTTTATCAGGAAAGACTTTCTTTTTTTGCGTTTTCTTCACAGCAAACATAATTTCAAGTTCTTTGCAACTTCTATTGCCTCTACCAAAATTAAGTCTAAAGACAATTTGATCCAGATCCGTCAAAAATTTATAATCTTTACTTCACCATTGAGAGTGAGTTGAGTGGATTGAAGCAGAAGACTCACGTTGTTAACTGCCGTCAAACATTTAAACCAAAAAGTAGTGAAAACAAAAAATTCAAAAGAATTTATCCATTTAAATAGATAATACACTTTATTATTACTTTTTCATGGAAGGTCTCCCAGGAAAAAAAGTTCTAAAGAATTTTCTATAAACTTTTGAAACAGATGGCCTATAGAAACTTTATAGAATTTCTATAGAATGTCTATTAATTTCTATAGAAGTTGCTATAAAACTTTTTTTACTATAAAAAACAAGTAGAAAAAAAAATTTCAATTGGAACTTTTATAGAAGTTAGCAGAATCTCTATAGAAATTCTATAGAATTCTATATTGTTTCAAAAGTTTATAGAAAATTTTATAGAACTTTTTTTCCTGGGCTAACACTTTTAGACAAAGTAATGGTTTCAAGATCTCTCTTGGCTTTTTTGCTAGTTAGCCCAGAAAAAAAAGTAAAATATATAAAATTTTCTATAAACTTTTGAAACAATATAGAATTCTATAGAATTTCTATAGAGATTCTGTTAACTTCTATAAAAACTCCAATTGAAATTTTT